GCTGACTCCCTGTGGGAGCATTTGCTCTCACAGTTATTTCTCCCCATTTCTCCTCATCCCTCACCATGCACCTCCACCCTCTTCATTTCAATTCCATACATTTAGGGTTGTTTGGGCTCGGGTGTGCTGCAACAATTTTACATCTTTGTTGACCATAGCCACCTGGGACTCAATTTTATTGTACACCTTAGACATTCATTCATAACATCCTCATGACATTCATATATAGGAACTTGAGGTGGGCACATGGCTATGGGTGGTGGGATGACCTTACTCTCACCCCCTGTGCCTGTGCTCACTTACAACGGTTGCATTTAGACACTAGGGTTTGGATAGAGTTGGGGTGGAGGGGAAACTGGCACCATGCCAGCCTTTGCTCCTTCTTCTTTCCTTTTTAATGGCACTATACAACAACACACATCAACAGCACATCTAGGGGTAGGGGTGTATGTGTCGGGGTCTTATTTTATTATTTTTTTTATTTATTTATTATTTTTTTTATTTATTTATTATTTTTATTTTTTTCCTCTTCCTACCCACCTAGTTCCCTGACTGCCATTCCGGGGGTGGGGTCTGGGAGAAGGGCAGGCCGTCGGGTGTTGACCAGGACTATGTGGGGGTTCAGGGTCTAGGGGGTTGCCGTGGGCGGTGCTGGCGCTGTGCTCTCCCTGGGGTTGTTTGGACCCCCTGAGCTTGGCTCTTGGGTGCCATGGTTGGCCCGCTGGCCGGGGTGGCTGCCGGGGCCTGGCGGGCGGTCGGCTGGGGGTGCGTGCTTAGTTGTTGGCGGTGTGTGGGGGTGGTCGGTGGCGTGTCCTCTTCATGGTGGGGAGGTGTCCTGTCGGCGGGGCATGGCCTGGGCCGGGTCTGGGGTATTGGCTCTTCTCCGCTCAAGAATGAATGGGTTTACCTCCTGGGTTTGGGCATGGGCTGCCCCCTGTAGAGGGCGGGTACATATCTTGGACCTGGGGGGTATAGAGTGCGTATCGGGAATAAGAATGAAATGTATCGTTATTGTATGTCTTTGAGTGAGTGAATGTGAGATTGAGGTTGGGATTGTGTGATTGTGTCTGTATAAGAATGGGTATTTGTTAGGCCGAGACTCGGACTGCCCCCTCTTTGATACAACTGGGGGTGCTTGGCATCGCGCCCTTATCGCGCGGCCTCCTGGTGGGGTGTGCCCTTGCCTGCCGGCGTGCTTGGGGCCCTTGGTATCGGGGGCTGGGCGCTTGGGCTTGTGTCAGCTCGGCCTGGTGTCTGCCTGGTGGGGCTCGGGTCCTCTGGCCCTGTCGGGCCTTGGCCTGGGTGGTGTGAATCCTCGGTGCCCGGGCCTCGGTGCCTGGACCTGGACCTACATCGGTGTGGCGGGTGCCGACGGAGGCCTATGAGTTTGTCGCTGTTGGCCCCGGGGGGTCACTGTATGTGGTTGCTGGTGGGGATCTTCCGGTTCTCCCCTGTGGTCCGTTCTGGGGGGTGGGTGAGTGGTTCCTCCTGTGTGGGTGGCTCTGGGGGCTCCGCGGTCAGGGTCCCTCCTGGGGTCTTGGGCTCTGGTCCCCCCTTTTTCGTCTGCCTCTGGTCTTGGGGGTCGGGTCTCTGCTGCTTCACAGTTACTAATAAATGTTCTATTAGAGAAGCCTTATACACTTATGCATGCTCACAACCACACACAAATAGAAGCAGGGATGCTTATGTAGGCTTTATATGTAGATATATAGATATGTATGTGAGTGTATAGTCATGTGTATGTATGTATGTATGTATGTATGTATATAGGCGTAGGTATGGGTATATATATTTATGGAAACTTACTGCAAAGCCATGAATATTTTAAGTTCTTTATACATATGTATTTTGTTGCTGTGTTTTGTCATGTTCTTTGCAGGTGAACAGACAGTGGCCGGGTGTTTTGACGTGTGCTCTCTTTGTGTATATTTCTTATATTTTGGAGTCTTACTTTGTATTTTCTTTCTTTCTATCCTATTAAAAAAAAAATTAAAATAAATAAATAAATAAATAAAATACCTACACTAGATAGTCACTATAATAAATATTTCATAATAATGGTGTGGAGAGGATGGCTGTAAGGGGAGAAGGGAGGCCATCTAAAAAAAAAAAAACGCAGCCCACACATCAGACTAGCCCACCAGGAAATCTCCAGACCCTCCCGCAGCCACGCAGGACCTGATTTTAATTATTTCGTGACAAATTCCTTCATTTCTCAAAATTTCAGTCATGACATCAACGGAGCAGTAAGAGTTCGCTTGTCTCTTGGAAAAAAATTAAACAAAACAAAAGGCCATTAAACCAGATCAGGGATGAAGAAGGGGAATTTAAAACATTGGTGTTGCATACAAAACAGTCCGTCACCAGGCAGTATGTGCAAAACTGAGTACCCCGTACGCGGTCATAAAAAATGATCAATGCATGGACATGGCTTGCAGATGTCCGCGTTGAGTCTAATCAGGTACGTGCGGACCTCTGCAGACTGAAATACGCCCGAGTATGTGGGAGCCTTAAGTCCAGCAGGAATTAAAGGTGGATTTCTGAATTTCATATCTAGTTTATCTAAGACTGTCTATCTTTGAATAATTTGAGAATGTTACAGAAATTATTTTGTTATGTTACACAATCACAATAAAGTTCTTGACTCTTCTTGGGGGGAAAAAAGGAAACAATCAGTTTCAGGCTGAGGTGGCTCAGTTGGAAAACTGTTGTCTCTCTGAAAGAAGGTTGCCGGTGCAAATCCAGGTCCGGGGGCCTTTCTGGGTGGAGCTTGCATGTTCTCTCCGTGCATGTGTGGGTTATCTCCGGGTACTCTGGTTTCCTCCCACAGACCAAAAACATGCATGTTAGGCTGATTGGTAACTCTAAATTGTCCCAAGGTGAGAGAGTAAATGGTTGTTTGTCTCTATGTGTCCCTGTGATGGACTGGAGACCTGTCCAGGTGTCCCTGTGATGGACTGGCGATCTGTCCAGGTGTCTCTGTGATGGACTGGAGACGTATCCAGGTGTCCCTTTGATGGACTAGAGACCCATCCAGGTGTCTCTGTGATGGACTGGAGACCCGTCCAGGTGTCCCTGCGATGGACTGGAGACCCGTCCAGGCGTTTCTGTGATGGTTTCTGTGATGGACTTGAGACCTGTCCAGGCGTCTCTGTGATGGACTGGAGACCCGTCCAGGTGTCTCTGTGATGGACTGGAGACCTGTCCAGGTGTCCCTGTGATGAACAGGAGACCCACCCAGGTGTCCCTGTGGTGGACTGTAGACCCATCCAGGTGTCTAAGTGATGGACTGGAGACCCGTCCAGGTGTCCCTGTGATGGACTGGAGACCCGTCCAGGTGTCCCTGTGATGGACTGGAGACCCATCAAGGTGTCTCTGTGATGGACTGGAGACCTGTCCAGGTGTCTCTGAGATGGACTGTAGACCTGTCCAGGTGTCTCTGTGATGGACTGGAGACCTGTCCAGGTGTCTCCGTGAGTCTCTGTGATGGACTGGAGACCTGTCCAGGTGTCTCTGTGATGGGCTGGAGACCTGTCCAGGTGTCCCTGCCTCTCCAACAGTGACTGCTGGATATGGGCACCAGTGACCCCCCGACCCGAAAAAGAAGAAGCAGGTAAACATAATAGATGGGTGGACGGACAAATGGATAGACAAATGGGTGGATGGATAAATGGATGGATGGTTGGATGGATAAATGGATGGATGGATAAATGGATGGATGATTGGTTGGATAAATGGATGGATGGATGGATGGATGGATGATGGATGGATAAATGGATGGATGGATGATAAATGGATGGATGGATGATGGATGGATGATGGATGGATGGATTATGGATGGATGATGGATGGATGGATAAATGACTGGATGATGGATGGATGATGGATGGCTAAATGGATGGCTAATGGATGGATGGATGGCTAAATGGATGGATGATGGATGGATGGATAAATGATGCATGATGGATGGATGATGGATGGATGGATGATGGATGGATGGATAAATGATGCATGATGGATGGATGATGGATGGATGAATGGATGGATGAATGGATAAATGGATGGATGATGGATGGATAAATGGATGGATGGATGAGTCTGAAAGGATTAGAAATGCTCACATAGATGAAGTGTCTACATGTGTGGAATCTGAATCAGAAGTTTGCTTGTTGCTCATCATATTTAAAATGTTTTTGTTGTGTATCAGTTGAACAAAACTTTGAAACAGGTCAAGTGTTCTTTCATGAGTATCTAAAATAAAAGTAATTCAGTAATAAAATCCAGTCCAAGTATTTTAAGAAACGCGCTGACAAATGTTGATGATATTTATTAGTAAAGCTCTGTGGTTAAATCCTTTGATGACGGGGAGGAACAGATGTGCTGCAGATGTTGGTGCTGCTGATGCCTGCAGCACTGCGGAGCTCTGATCCTGGATGTTCAAACTCTACATTTCATTTCTGGTGTTTTAGTGAGAAACAAGTCGACCATCTTATTGTCAGTAAGTAACAGACGAGCTGACAGATGATCTTCATCAAGCATCTCAGACAGAAAGAGGAGGGCAAAAGGCTCTGCTCAGAACTGTGGGGGCTCCATCTGTTTGGAGATCTTTAGCTCTTACCTCTGATTGGTCAGTCAGGTTGTCTAGGCGTGGCAGTTGAGGCAGCTGAGAGAAGCGCCGGTCGTAGATGCAGAGGTGTAGGTGTTTGTCCAGGACCCGAAAGTCCTCATAGCTGCGCTTCACAATCCAGCTGCGACCCTTCAGGTTGGAGACAGAAACAGACTTAAACACAAGTCCTGCTTTCATTTAGGAACTACTTCCTGGTCAGGCAAGACATAAGGATGAAGCAAACATTCTTCAGTTTCTGCCACAATGTTCAGTACATGACCCCACAGGCATTTTAATAACACGCCAAAAACCAAATCAGAATATATATGGCGTGATCAGGAGTATGACGCTGTGATTTACCAAACATCCAGACAGCTGAGATGAAACTCACAAAAGCTGAAAACCAATCCTCCCATATCCAAAAAAGTTCAATCTGGTCCTCTGGACATTCAAAAAAAAAAAAAAAAAGCAAAAAAATATAGAAACGTTTCGTTTCTCATCCGAGAGACTTCCTCAGTCTGAGGTGCTGTATTCAGCTCAGTTTCTTAAATAGAACCTTCTCAGTGTGGATCAACCAGTTTGCTGCTGACAACCAAAACCAGCTGCTCACATGGTCAAGAAGGACCATCAGCCTAACAATGGATCATTAGTATACTGATGGCTGTTTACTATTCACAGAGGGCTGAGTGATACTAGCAAAAACAGGCAGTGTAAGAGGAGGACAGTTGAACCCGGAGGCCTTCACCCCTATTTAATGATGGACGATTTCTTTTCACAAAGATGGCCTCCTTTACTCCAACTAAAGGGATGAGTACAGACGCCAGATATTTGGAAATATTGTAAGTGACAGAGTAAATCATGCTAACAATAGGTCTTAAATGTACACCTTGTTTGTGGATTTTAGGTAAACCTAGGTGTGGCCTCCCCTGGGTACAGTCTGTGGTACAGAATATGGTCAATAGCCTTGTCCTGCTCCAAATTTTTCAGGCAATCTATCAACTTCTTCTCGTAATCACTACCTGGATCTCTTTTCAGAGGTTCATAAGTGGTTAAGTCACTAAGAAGTGTCATAACTTTCTCATGATAGTCTTTCTGGTTCAAAATCAATGTGCACCTTCCTTTGTCTGCTGAGAGAATGATGATATTTTTGTCCTTGCTAAGAGTGGTGAGTGCATCCCTCCTCTCTACTGATGTTGGAAGGTGGTGGTTTGGCATTGCTGAGGCATGATGAAACTTTGATTCTGAGCTGTTCTGCTTCACCCTCTTTAATTTTGTTGTTGTGAGTGGCTGATACTGTGGCTGTGATCATCTCCAGCAGAGGAATTCTACTTGGTGCAACCGCAAAGTTCAGTCCCCTGGCAATAATCTCTGTCTCCAGCTGGGTGAGCTGTCTGTCAGATGAATTCTTCACCAACTTTTTTGTCTCCCTGGCATGTAATTGTCTACTGGAGTGTTGTCTTACACTGAATGTGTTGTTATTGGAATTGTGATGGTGTTGATGAGTTATTAGCAAGTTAAAATTGTTTTGTTGTCGAGTCTTGGACTTGACATGCTGTGCTAAGCATGCCTGATCTGTACAGTCCATCACTTGCTGAAGTGTGGTCTGATCTAGGCACATTGTTAGTTTTTGTTTAATTTGCTCTTCTTTGGCCTTCAAGGCCTCAATAGTATAATCGGTCTGTCTCACCCGTTCATTCAGCAGCTGGGTCTGTGCCTTCTGAAGGATCTTGCTTGCCCGGTGCCCCCTGACTGAAGATTTTAGTTTCAGGCTCTTGGGAATGATGCCACTTTTTCGACAATAGAGGTTGAATCGCAAGTGGTTCCTGTAGTCTGCCCTCTTCCTTGCTGTTTTTTCCAACTTTCTAACTAGTTTGAGGCAATCCTGGCCAAAGTGGTTCAAAATATCCTGATGCATGCTCAATAATCCAGGTAGAAAAATCCAATAAAAAAAACAAAAAAAAAAAACAAAGCAAAAACAACAAAAGTAGAAACGTTTCGTCTTTCATCCGAAAGACTTCCTCAGTCTGAGGTGCTGTATTCAGCTCAGTCTTATAAATAGCACCTTCTCAGAGTGGATCAACCAGTCAACCTACTTCACATATGGGGAGCAATATTATAGGCAGAAACATGGGTGTGCTATGGGGTTTCCAGTTTATCCTATTGTTGCCAACCTGTAAATGGAGGAGGTAGAAAAGAGAGCCTTGACGTCCTTTTCAGGGACACCACCAAGTCAATGGTTCAAGTATGTTGACGACAACTGGGTTAAAATTAAATCTCAGGAAGTCCAACATTTTACTGACCACATCAACTCTGTGGATAAATACATCAAGTTCACACGAGAAGATGAAAAAAATGGCAAGTTGGCTTTCTTGGACTGTGAGGTCTCAGTCTCTGATAGAGGACATTTGCAAACTGAGGTGTACCGCAAACCCACCCACACAGACCAGTATTTGCAGTTTGACTCCCATCACCCTTTGGAACACAAGCTAGGAGTCATCAGGACTCTGTATCACAGAGCAGACAGTGTCCCCACTAGCTCAGGAGCCAGGCAGAAGGAGAAATCCCACACAAGACAGGCTCTAGAGCAATGTGGATATCTTAACTGGGCCTTCCTAAAAGCAGAGAAGAAACCCAAACAGGACTCCAGTCAGCCAACAGGTGAAAAGGAGGAACCCAGACCTGTGGTCATTCCATATGGTGAGGGAGTATCAGAGAAACTGAGACGTTTATTTTCTAAACATAACGTCCCAGTGGCTTTTAAACCCCAAAATACATTACGGCAAAGACTGGTTCATCCCAAAGATCCAGTACCCCAGCACAAACAGAGTAATGTTGTGTATGCTGTTCAGTGTCAGGAGGGCTGTGATCAGTCTTACATCGGGGAAACAAAACAGCCACTGGCCAAAAGGATGGCCCAGCACAGAAGATCAACATCATCAGGCCAGGACTCGATGGTCTACACTCATCTCCAGGCCAGCGGTCACTCTTTCAGGGATGAAGATGTGCACATCCTGGATAGAGAGGAACGATGGTTTGAGAGAGGAGTAAAGGAGTCCATCTTTGTGAAAATAAACCGTCCATCGTTAAACAGGGGTGGAGGCCTACGTGTTCAATTGCCCCCCTCTTACAATGCTGTGACTGCTAGTATCACTCAGCCCTCTGTGAATAGTAAACAGCCATCAGTGTGCTAGTGATCCATTGTTAGGCTGATGGTCCTTCTTGAGCATGTGATCAGCTGGTTTTGGTTGTCAGCAGCAAAACTGGTTGATCCACTCTGAGAAGGTGCTATTTAAGAGACTGAGCTGAATACAGCACCTCAGACTGAGGAAGTCTCTCGGATGAGCGACGAAACGTTTCTACATTTTTTGTTGTTTTGCTTTGTTTTTGTTTTTTTTTGAATGTCCAGAGGACCAAATTTAACTTTTTTAGATTCTCAATTTAAATGAGCCCGTGATGTTTTTAGGCATAAACGCTGGGTTAGGTTTCAGATCAGCTGAAACTGCCATCAGCTTGAAACCTGAGGCATGACGGAGCAACATAGAGAGCAGAAAAATCACTCACTCTCTTTGCAGATGTCAAAGCCAACAGCAGGACTGTTTTACGTGACAAGAATTTAATCGAAAAACTGTTCTGTCACCGAAGCCTTTGTGACAGGAAGAGATGGCTGCAACATACGTTTTAATTGTGCTGAACGCCAGATTTATGTCCATCAGCTGCTGCAGAAAGGACAGCACGCCACCTAGTGGACATGAGATGGCCTCTACACCTTTTCCCGTACACCAGCGTTGAAAAGCTGTCCACTTTGATGTGTATAGCGCTGTGGTGGAGGCAGCGTGTGGATCCTGGATTGTGTGCACTACTTCTTGAGAGAGACCCATCTTCTCTAATGCTCCTTTCCCACTGTCACGGCGCGGGTCGGATATTTCCGGCTTCACACGCGTTTGAGGTTTTTCCACTGTTCCTGGAACCGGCTCGCCTCCCTAAATTCTGGCCTGGCTTCTCAAGGGGTCCAAGCGAGCCAAGCCGTGACGTCAGAAACACTGTCGGTCACTGATTGGTCGGGGGGAGGAGTCTGTGGAGTCTTTCCAAACAACCTGATCCGCCATTTTTTCTCTACCGCCTGCCATTAGCGATAACGCGAGGAGCTACGATGCTAAGCTAATTTGCATAAATGCTCCGGTCCTGTTTCTCACTGTATTTTATCCAGAATGTATTTTAGCGCGTGACGGTTCATCTCTAAACTCCACATTAAACCCTCCAAGCCTCCCAGCTCTGCTCCTGCTCCATCAGTGGAGTCTGCACCTGACAGAGCTCCATCACAGCCCAGCTGCACCTCACAGAGCAGCACAACGCTGCAGCCTTCTGTGCTTGGTAAGAACAGATGCAACATGTTCCACATCACTTTATTTGTGCCGATAAGGACTTGCTTTTATTTTTTTTTTAAGTAAAAAAATAAAATGTTGAATAAATACTGAATTGGAATGAAATTATGTACACAGGGTCCCAGTTACACACAACAAAATGTACAAGAAAAACTGTAATAAGATGTAAGATATGAATTAAGAAAAATATCAACTAAAAAACATCTACTAATAATACACTAAGCACTAATAGCAGAAAACAATCAAAACAATACGTCAAACAGCAACATGAACTTGTGTTTGTGCAGCCTTATGAATATCTAACCAGGACAATCCCTGTGAAAAATCACATCATGTTACTGTTGATCTGTTTCATGTTGCTGCTGAAATGTTTCATGTTGCTGCTGATCTGTTTCATGTTGCTGTGTACATTCGTGCTCGTCTGTTCACACAGACTCATGTCCGTGCTGCTGTTCGGCGTATTGTGTTTATTGTTTTTATGCTATTAGTGCTTATCATATTTTTAGTTGATGTTTTTCTTAGTTCATATCTTAGATCTTATTACTGTTTTTCTTTTACAATTTATTGTTGGATGTAACTGGGACCCTGTGAACATAATTTTGATCCACCACATGTACCACATTATTTGATCAGTTTATTATTATTAATATATCTATTATAGCTGTTAGCTGCACCTTTCTTTGTTTTATGCATTTATTCAAAAACAGTATATCTTGAATTAACCACCTTTTTCTTCTTTCTAGTCAAGAGAAAGAGAAAAGAGTCCAG